CGACGCAAGAACAGTTACGCTCGAATTCTAGTATACTACTCGTAAATGCCTAAACAATGTTTCGAAATATTTCGAATGGGTGTATAAAGAAGGCTTTGTATCACGAAACAGTTGTCCATTGCGGTGAACGTGAATCAGTCTCCGAGAGCGTGATTATTCGACCCATTTTGCTTGTAATTCTATCGAGTATAAAGACCGCTTCTATTTGAGGTTTAAAGAAACGTAAATCAAGAGCCGCAGTGAATGCGGATCGGTTTCCTAGAGTATGATTACCCGACCTGTTTCGCCCGGTAATTCCGCGGAGTCTCGAGAAAACGCGGGGAACCTGAGTCCTGACGTATTCTCGATCGATCGCGGAGAAATCTCGACCGATAATCGTACCTAAATGAACTTGAGTCCGCTTATTGGAAGACCCGATCTAGGTCTGGGTTACATGCAGACTTTCGATCGCTCTTGCTTAACAAATTATACCGACTTACAAACGATGCGATTCTGAGAACGGTTTAACAAATTGTCCACATTCGAGTAGTGATGTGTGCTCTTCAAGAATTAAATACATCCATACTTACATGGATGGGGCATAGGTTACGTAGGTTAGAACTGGACTCTGTGTCAGATTCACAAATACTATTCGAAGCATCTAGTGATATGCAACTTAGTAAAGAGACTCGCAAACTGTGGGTCGAGAAAGAATTTTGAGTACACGTGGGATATTTAACACTAAACCTACCGGCATTTAATGTGCACTTAACTTGAAATTAAAAATGAAGTTAAAGAATAAATAATCAAATGAAACATTAATTAGCGCACACATTTATTCTTTATCTTAATGAAAATCAATGTTGATTTGAAGGAATGTATTTTAACAAAATGTGCACCCTATAATAAGGTACTTGTGGATTTGGTAGTTTCAGTGTTAAAAAGATTGAAATTTTCAACCTCTTATTTTGCACAAGATCTTCGAGCAAGCAGCAGATTTCTATTTGGATCTAACATGTCTGAACTAGATCTGGGTCAGATTTCTATCCCCTCCTATTCTACTGCCAGTCTAAGTCCTCATCAATTTTTTCATGGACAAATTAACAAAGTTATTTCCACTTTCCACAGTTCAATTTCCATCAACTTATTTGCATTGCACATGATTGTTAACAACGATTTTAAGCATCCTACGATATTTTTGCGAACAAATTGTAGCCGAGCCGATTTCAATGCGCATTCGCTGGAATTCCATTTGGACCTAACGGAGCCGGTCTGGGCCAAATTCGATTACCAACGTCCCACCAGATAACTTATCCTAATCTACATTGCATATGATGCTATTCCAAGCAGCCCATATCGATATTTTCACGAACGAATCGTGAAATCCGACAAAGTTGCAACATTCGATTATACGCTGGGTAAATTTCTACTTGGACCTAATAGATCCGGACTGGGTTCTGGATTAAATTCAGTTTCCATCGTTCCTGTCTGATTACTTATCCTCTTCCACACCGAGTGATACCTCGTATCTACATTTTCCTTTATTAATAATCAGATGTAACAAAGTTTCAGGAACATGGTTAAATTTCCAGTTGAAGGATCGGTAAATCCGTTCCTGCTAAATCGAGCTTTTCTATCGGTATAGAGCTACCTCTGCTGCATACAGGTTCAACCTGTGGAGCATAGAGGACGGCCAAATCTTTATCCGACTTTTCGAGTTCGAACTTTTATACGCGTGTTAGGTTATAAAACGAAAACACCTCGAGTCTCAAAATAGGATACGATATTAAGAAAAATGTTCCGAAGGACTCTAAAATTGGGGTTACAAAATGTCCCAATCTTCGAAGTTCGAAATCCCGAAATCTCCAGATGCCAAGTTTTCGAAGTAGTAAAAATTCCCTGGTGGGGAGTCGATCCAGGCGAGAGAACCGGACAATACGATATCGATCGGAAGTGATCGATCGAAAACACTGGAAAAAGAAGACGGATCGAGTCCGTTGGTCGAAAAGCGAATTTCGCGATGCACGGTTCAAAAATAGCGAAATCGGCGCGGATGTTAAACGTTGCGAGGTCGACACGAAAGAGAGAGACGAAGAGAGAGAAGTCGGTGCTCGTGTGCCACGGATTCCATGAACGTCTCGTGGCCCGCGTTTCGTTATGTAACGTAACTACGTGGTGTAACGTGGGTCTTTGGTTGGCGATGTGGGCTTTTACATTGGCCGTTTCTGTGCCACGCACCACCTTCCCTACCTCCCGTCCATGGTTTCGTCGCTTGGGGACAAAAAAAATCGATAGACTCTCTCTCCCCACGGTTGGTACACTCTCACCCTCTCTCTGTTTCACCTCGTCTCTCTACCCTAACCCCTGCCCACTGCAAACCGTCTCTCTGTCCCTGTATGCTCTCTACCATGCAAACTTCTCGTTCTCTGGCTGTTCCTGGCAAAAAAGGTCTACCAGCCAACGACAAAGCCTCGATTTTTTACCTTTATACACGGTGTACCCACGCTACATCTGTAAAACACGGTTCAACAACTCGAATTACTCCAATATGAATCGTTCCTTCGAAATTCGTTAGAGATCGAGATTATCGTCATCGATTATTAACCCCTTCCCGTGCTTTGACGAGTCTCACTCGTGACGCACTCACAACTCAAATGTGATTAATGTTACTCAAATTTTGAATACTCTTCAACTTGAATTTTAGAATAATTTGCGTTGTCAAGGATCCCTGAATATAAAATACTTAGAACATTTTCATTTTCTTTGTTCGTTTTAATGTTATAGTCCTGAATGGTTAGTCTTGACCGACGCACCTCACAAATAAATGGCACGGCAAGGGGTTATAGAGTCCTTGTCCCAGATAGAAACCCATTTCACCTCTAGTAGAAATTTCAAAATTACATTTCTTGCAACTTGAAATCTGAAGGATTTTTAAACGAACTAGTCGAACAGAGATATGATGCAAGGCTTAAGGTATATGCAAAGTTAAATAGCCGTTTTTCATCCAATACCGTTTCATCGGAAAGGATGATCTCTACGCGATCAAGGGAATCAAAGATGAGATCAAATACTTGGAAGAGAAAAAGGGTGAGGGTAAATGCTAGCACAGTTTAATGGGTATCCTTTCGATCGAAATTGTTTCTGCTCTTTGCCCAGTAACCGCACCGTTTATCGAATGTTTGTTTCCCTTTGCCCCCAAGTTAGTTGGCTAAGCACGTTCGTGGCTTCTGTTTCTAATTCGAGGAGAACGAAGACGTGGACCGCGCTCGGGAATCTTGCTCATACCTGACCAGCTTCGGGGAACGAGTTTCAAACAAATTTTTCGGCGTATCTCTGTTTGTTTAACTCCTTATGACACTCGTGACGCGATTTACAATTCAAACGCTATCTAATTTCTCGACTTCTGCTATTCTGAATACTATTATCTCTTTGCGGCACAAGATTTCAGATCAAAAATAGAGCCATGTTGCACAGGGGTGAAATGAAACAAAATTGGTGTATTTTTATTAATAAAGGTATAACGTCATGTGATGTTATGTTATTATTTTGCTAACACATTTGTGACATTGCTTGAAGACATTACCAACTTAAATAAAAGTATGCACGTGCAGTTATTGAAAGATTTCGAGATGGGAAGTGTAGCACCATGCTGTACATCAAAAAGGTAGACACTTTTAATCCCACCGCACCCCAAAGAGTTATGCGAGCTCCGAATTTGTAACTTTCTCAAAATAATATTCCAAAATCTGAGGACAAAGTCCTAGAAAGGGCATCTCACAAATCAGCCTAGTTTCAGCCAGCCATTCTGAGGACAAAGTCCTAGAAAGGGGTTTCATCTCGCAAATCAGCCTAGTTTCAGCAGCCATTTATTTCCAAAAATTCCAGACTCTGAATTCCGAGTGGAAAATATTTAGCGAATCCCTCAATTACCCGAAACCCGAGAAAATTCTTCGCCGCAAACAATTCGGTCCCCGTCATGAAGGTCTCGACCGCGGCTCCTAAACGAGTAACAAATCAAAAGTTTCTCGTTTTCGTGGTGACTATCTGGTAAACCGTTTCTCCTTTATGTACATACAACATGAAAAGAGCAAGAACGGTATGGCTTGCGACTACTATAAATCACGTCGACAATCGGGGTTAGTACAGGCACCCTTGGAAACCTGTTCCACCAGAACGGACCATCTCCGTCGGCCATTGTACCGCCCGGCTCTCCATTTCGAACTTTCCTGACCCGTTGTACAAAAGGGTCGGACTCTAATCACACGTATCACGCATGTTAATTAACAACACCGAACCCTTTTGTACGCGGCGAGCAACGACGCGAGATAAGCGTGAATTGCTTTCAATTTAACACGCGAAGGACGATCGTTTGTCCACGGAGATCGCGACACCACCTTCTACTTCTCTTCGCCTCTGTTAAACGAGCTTTTGTTGTTGTAAACAACGCCTCGTTCGCAAACGGATCTCTTCGGGGGATTTCTACGAGTACAAACTGTTTACGCTTAGGAAAATTTTATTCGAACATCTCCTGGTCGAACGGAGTGCAATAAATAAGGTTGCAGGGGTTGTTAACCTCTTGCAGTACTTTCACGAGTCTGACGCACTCGCATAAATACGCTTTTGGAATTATTTGCGTAGTTAATTTATAACAAATTTACATAAGACTTTTGTTTTAATATTGTAGTTCTGAGACGCCTAATAAATCATAGTAAAATACGGTTAAGTATTTTGAATTTATTGTTTGAAAGCACTTAGTGTCGAATCTCGTAAATCGACACTTGAGTGAGAAAAATGTGAGTGCAAAATTAATCGTTGAGTGGACTCATCGTGCAAAGGTTAAATATGTTTATTCGCGTGGTCACGTTTAAAAAAATGAACGTTCGCGTAACTGTAAAATAAAATCTGAGTACGGAGGAGTTTAACGTGTTCCACGCACGCCACGTTCTCTAATTGTAGAAGAAAAAAACAAAACGAGAGGTCGTTGAATAGGATTAAGTTAATGAGATAAATGAAGTACTCACCTATTTTTCTCCAGCTCGTTATGAGTCGTCCTGCAATGGATAAAGAACGTTCTTGTTAGACTTCAAAGTGCTGAAATTGTTTGCTTTGCGACGTCGAAGAAAAAAAGGAGTAAAAATAAGGGGGAAACAGAACGTGGTTCGAAGCACGGATGAAAATTAAAACTGTCGGAGGGAAATAAAGCGTTCCATTACACGTGAAAGCTTTCTTTTAAACCAAGAACCAAATTAAAAAAGGGGGACTTTTTCTAATTAATTGTACACCGAAAATACGCTGCAGCTAAAAATTCCCATGTTTTCATCGTTGAAGGATTTTTTTTGAATCGGGTTTATAGTTACACAGATAGTTTGAACAGGAATTTCTGTAAAAGCGACTTGAAATCGAAACTGCAAAACGAGACTGTGCACCGATAAATTCGCTCGCAGCGAAGGACGCGTATAATAAACACGGATGAAAATTTATCAAACCGTATCAAAAGTTATCAAACTTTTGCAACGTTGCTTTATAAACGATACTGTATCGGTCGATTCGCGGGAACGTTTCAAGTTGGTCCTGACAGTTGTAGCTTTCAAAGCTTGAAAATAAAAAGAATGAAAAGAAAGCGCGTTACAAATGACTCTTGCATATTTTTGAATGCGAAATAGTTGTCGATATTATTTTTGCTACCGCATGAATATTAACGGTACGTTTGTCTAGGCTTTAATGATTACTCATGCTGTATATCTTTAACGGAGACAATTTCTAGTCTCGTGAGTCATCGTAATTAGCTTGAAACTAAATGGAAAAGAGCAAGGATTTCAAAGTTTGTTTGGTTCGCTTTGTATCCCTCGGAAAAGGTCAATGACCTATCTGCTTAGACAATATTTCAACCGTCTAATTAAAAATCTTAGATCTCATGGATGTACAAACTACACGTATTAATTTAAAGAACTGAGTAAGCTTAAATCGGAAACAAAAGATTCTTTTGCAACGTTCCTATGTGCGAATGATTGATAAGTAGCTTACAACGTAGGTTGAAAAATCGCGAATACTCCGTATATCTGAACAATGCATGCGAGATCAGAAGATCTTGAAAGCGCGTCTTGCGTTACTATTGTTCGAGGCAGGTGTTCCAGGTGCGTTGGTCTTTCAAACGACTGATAAGATATAAGAGTATTCTTGAGTTTCTTTGCAGTGGATGTTCGTGAGTCGTCGAACGACCTTGTTCGATAGATCGTTGAGCTCTCTCGCGATACGAAAGAGTTTACATTCTCCGCAAATTGCCGATCGCGCGTTTCGTTAAATCTATAGGCGCAAGGGACTCGAGGGAGTTCTGCAAGAATTATGGAGCCCTAAAGAAATTCAAGATCGAACTCCCGGAGGAGTGGCCACGGATTCCAGGAGATAACAGAGCCTACTCCTGGGGGATTTTACGGGCTTCTAGGAACTACCGACACCTTGGGGACTAAATCTTGGAGATAGGAAGGTTAGGTTAGATTCAGGACTGTAGGATATTAAAGGAATTCATCTCTAACCCTTTGCGCTCGGAGACTCACCATTCGATTTAATACAATAACTTAAAATAGCTATTTAACTCTATATTTAGGTATTTAAGTCTATAGTGATGTATCATCATACACATGTGTATAATCATAATGAAATGGTAGAAATTAATAGATGAGTAACTTCAAAAGAATTCATCAAAATTTTCAACCACGAGTTTCAACCCTTAACACTAGATTTATGGACGTTTAATGATCACTCTTATTTAAATTTACCTAAAGTAGAAAAATAAATAAATTGCAGATGATATGCGAACTGCTTAAAACATTGTTTTGCTGAAAGTTGACATTTTTACAAAAATTTCTTAACAAATTCTGTCATCTAAAATAGACCTATTATCCGTCATTTTGACGGGTTCCGTAAATCTAGTGTTAAACACATAATGTATAACTACTTCAAAATATTGAACAGAGACATATGCATGAAGTACAGAAGTGTAACATATCTTCAGTACACGCCTGAAACTCTTGTAAATTGTATCATTAAAACTATACGTATCGAAGTCATTTTCCTTACCACTACAAGAATTTAAGGGTTAAAGTAGCAAACAGCAAGTCTTCCAGTGCAAAGGGTTGAATACAAATAAGTTCTGATATATCGATGAGTAAAAAGAGGTACTAACCTGCTGCCCTGGGATTTTTTCGTCTTTGGCCTTTTTGTGACCGTCCGCATATCATCGGGCATCGGCATCGTCGAAGCGTAGCCATGTTCAGCTTCTGCAATGACAAACCAATCCACGGTCAGTGGACGAGGTCGACGGCTGGCATCGCGCGAATTCCAAAAGGCGCAACGCCCGAAAAAACACGAACACTGTCGCGAGCAACGCGCGGAAAACACGACTCGGGCTCGTTAAACCGCGTACGGGATAAAGTCACGTCTCGGGGACGTAACTTATCGACGAATGTTTACGGTCGAACGAACCAAAAGCTTCTAATTTAAAATTCGGAGTCATTTGCATTATAGGGAGGTTAAAAGCATCACCTTATATCTGAAGATCAACAAAAATGGCAGCGACAATCTTAACCCTTTCCTGGACTTTAAGGAGTCTCAGTCGTGACGCACTTACAGCTCAAATGTAGACAAACCTTACTCAAATTTTGAACATTTTTCAGCTTGAAATTTAGGTCCAACTATAAATTGCATTATCAAGGATCCTTGAATATAAAATACTCACATTTTAATTTTCCTTGTTCGTTTTAATGTTATAGCCCTGAATAGTTAGCATCTATTAAATAAATGGCACGGGAAGGGGTTAAATGCCGCTTGCAATCAGTGGTCGGAGTCTAACGTTTCACCTATTGAACGGTAGAAATTTTCGAGCTCTCCCCGCAAATATTAGTAAGGAATGTTTGCTTAGAAAATCCGGACCAACTCCTCCCCGGCAAAACAACGTTACAAAAATAGCCGTTGCCGCAATTTATCACGAAAATTGCGCTCGAAATGGCAACGGACGTCGCAAACAACTCGTCCAACGTCTTGTTCGTTTTAATGTTATAGCCCTGAATAGTTAGCATCTATTAAATAAATGGCACGGGAAGGGGTTAAATGCCGCTTGCAATCAGTGGTCGGAGTCTAACGTTTCACCTATTGAACGGTAGAAATTTTCGAGCTCTCCCCGCAAATATTAGTAAGGAATGTTTGCTTAGAAAATCCGGACCAACTCCTCCCCGGCAAAACAACGTTACAAAAATAGCCGTTGCCGCAATTTATCACGAAAATTGCGCTCGAAATGGCAACGGACGTCGCAAACAACTCGTCCAACGTCACGTCGAGAAATTGATATTATGTAAGGTGAACGAAGAACACATAAAGTAACGATGGCCGCAAAGAGAAAGAAAAAAATAAACGAAAGAAAGAAAACTCGACGAGCTGAAACGACAGACAGAGACTAGTCCCGCCATAACGAGTGGTGTAAATTATAAATGCCTCCTTCGGCCTCGTCTTTCGTCCGATCCTCGTCATCGTACAACAGCCTTAATGGCAGCCGGTGAAAAAGAACGGGCGCACCCGCGACATCGACCATCTGTCCTCGTAAAAGAAGAAAAGCGTCTCGTCTGGTCTCGCATACCATGACCATAAAGCATAGTTCATGCAAAAGAGAAATTCGCTTTGCAAATCAAAACTCACTGAACGATCGAATAATTAGTTTCGCTACGAGAAAAAATTCGAGACATGGTATTGTATCGAATAATCCTGAACAACCAATCTTATGTACAAACACCAATGTTATTACCAAACTTGCACAAATTAGAGAATCTTGGAAGAAAGAAGAATCGTGTTACTCTTTTTATTTTCGAATTTTATTTGACGAGCAAGCAATTGCCACTGTTGCCGCTCCGTCTATGAAGAGGCACTCTCGAGTGTTTCGTTTTCCTCATTAGCGGAGTTTGATGATCGACACGAACGAGTCTGTGCGGCTATAAATAAATAGTTTGAAGAGTTTTCGAGGAAGGAAACACTGGTAATTAATAAGCGTTTGCCAACGCGGCCAATTTGAAAAGCGATGTGAAAAAGGATATGAAATTTTAAGTCGGTGAATTCACCTGTTCGATAGGGGTTCCTGATCAAACCTTAACCTAACCAACTCAAACCGAACCGGGTTTAAGGTAGACAGTAATCCATTGTTAGCAGAGCGCTGGAGTTTGCAGGGCTCGGGGCAAAAGCCGATATTATTCGGAAGATACAGATTATGGTGCATAACAGATTTTCGAATGTTAGATTAATTTCGTTAAATCTAACTCGAAGGGTGATAAAACGTAACAATCAAGGTGAATTAACGGAAGCTCTGTTTTCGAAAGTAAAACGGTGAAAACGAGTTGCAGCGAATATCCGTGATGAGGTTGTGTGCAATGCGCTCGTTAGCGGTCACGTGTATTTCACACGAACGACTATCCTTTCATTAAGCAGCAGAACACGTGTAAGGTTTTTCTGTGTGGCCGCTGAATCGTCGAAGAACCCTTCGTACAGAAGGTATATTACATCCATCGGAGGTGTGCGAATAAAAATTTCTCTGATTCATCCTTATTCTTCTGCCTCTTCGCTTTTTCCCACCCGTACTTCATCTTCTGAAATACTGTCCTTTCTTTTCTCTTTGTTTCGTCTTTTTACTCGAACGGAAAAAGAACTGAAAACGCGTCGTTGAAATCGTCAACGGAGCAATTCATCGTGAAACGAACCGAGAGAACTGGATTTCAGCGGAGAATTTAATTTGCAGATTCATCGCGACGCGTTGCACGAAACGTTATATCGCCGTCCGCTCTATTGCCGCGTATCGACACTCGTCAGATCGACGAGTGCGTTATTAAATAAAATAAATTGTTATTGTATATGGAATACGTTAATTGGAACATAAAATGGCTCCAGATTCTTAGATATTGAAAAAGTGAAAATTTCAATCTTCCTAAAGTTGAAGAATCTTTCTTTATTTGGTTAAGAAGTTAGAGTGTAAGTAATAGAAAAACGTTTGGGGATACCGGGTATGAAAGAAGCACGAGCGTTTGAATTATTAACAGAAGAATTAACGCGTATCGACGAGTGCATTATTAAATAAAATAAAACGACTTGTTATTGTATATAGGATACGTTAATTGGAACATAAAATGGCTCCAGATTCTTAGATATTGAAAAGCAACAGTGAAAATTTCAATCCTGAAGTCGAAGAATCTTTCTTTATTTGGTTAAGAAGTTAGAGTTTAAGTAATAGAAAAACGTTTGGGGATACCGGGTATAAAAGAAGCAGGAACGTTTGAATTATTAACAGAAGGATTAACGCGAACGCAGAGAGTGGTCCACGAGAAGCCCAGAAGCCGATTAACGACCGCTCGGAACGACCTCTGCAAACATTCGAAACCTCCTCGTACCGTGTGTTTCATAACGAACTCTAAAAAGATAATAATCGTTCCTCTGGGCAGTCGAGTCGTTCGGGAGCGTTTTTCAGGGAAACCGTGCCAAATAGACCGATTAAAATAACGTAACAGCCTTATCTCGCGCATCCTCGAGCAATAATAGTTAATGCTCGATCAACGTGATTCCCTCTTGTTCTTGTCGACCAGAAGAATGGCCAATAAACTGAAAGCTCTTTCGGAGCTTCTGCGAGTCAATTTGTACCCTCTTCGTGAACAGACGCGCATAAAAACGTGCTCGTCTTCTTTAACCTATACCAACTTAACTCCCTGACGCGTAAATAGCATGAAACTCGAAGCGTTTCGAAAATATTATCCCTCGACTTAAATAAAACAAGAAGCTAATCCTGTAACGCATTAAACTTTTTACGACACGGTAACGGAAATCGGAATGATAAAGTGCACGTTAATTTTATAATATTCCATGACACTGTGGCGCTAAATTCGAAATCGCAATGAAAGTTAAGAAAAGAATACAGAAATACGACGTTAATAATTTTAGAGGAAGAAACGTAAGAACCATCATTTTAACGGGCTTGGTAGTTGCAGCGGGAAAGATCGATGCACGGCTACGAAGGGAAAGGAGAAACAAAGAAACCATTCTTTGGAGGTGTTCGTTTGAACGTGAACACACGTGTGCGCGCGCGAGCAGTCTTTGTGTGTACGTGACACACGAGGCCGGGTACCACGGGGATCTCGAGAGAAACAGAAAAGAATTACGACAGCGTAAATCTCGAGCAACTATTCGAAAGCGAAACGTGGAAAAATGCAAGGCGACAAACGTTTATTGTGATCTGTGTGTATTTTGGTTATTTACGTCACGCGTTTCGCTCCAGCGAAAAACAGAGGTCTGCACGGTTGGCAGTAATGGCGTACCGGTAGCTCTGTTACGCTAGAAAGTCACGTGACGTAAAAGAGTCAAGGAAAACGCGTTAAAAACAGCAAACTATATAAATTCGATCGAAACGACGTGAAATAGCCGATGAATCTTGTTTACAAAAAATACCGCGTGCCGGTGAATCATCGTGAACAGAACAGTCGATGAGATATTTATGCAAACGCGACCAATAATATACCGTGCCGATAACGAGCTCCCAATTAAAACGCCATTAACATTCGAATTCTTCCAGGAAGCGCGCCACGCCGGGACAGTGGCGTAAAGATATGAATACACCTTTTTCTAATTTTAAAACTCTGCAATTTTCAGATTTTAGAAAATGACGTGTTACAAGCGAGTGGATTGAATTAATTTATTACTTGGTTAGGTTAGGTTCGATAGACGTCTATTGCGCTGAGTTCATTGGACCGTTTCTAAATCATCGATGACATCGGAAAATAATCGATAATGAATTTTAATCTTATTAACCTGTTTCACGTTTAAATAAAATTCTTACAAACTTAAAAAAAACAGTTTTATTACTAGCTGCAAAATTATACGATTACTGTCGAATAGTGATTCGTAGCGACAAGTCGGAATTATTTGTGTTTTCAGAAAATACGCCACTGCGCGAAGTTTATACATGATATCGGATCGTAATCAAATGCCACAGACGTCTAGAAATAACAAATCGAGAGCGACGAAATGCAACGAGGGACTACGTAGAAAAAAGATAACACGCGAATTCAGCACGCACACGCGTAAGGCACGCAACTACGACGCAGCAGCATTATAAAGTGGAGTAATAAAATGAGATCATCGTTACCGCTTCTCGGGCGCACTCTGACGCACACGCGCGAGCGGATGCAACCTACGCGTCACATACACGCGAGCAAGCTATATACGCCGCGAGAAAAGAACGTACATATATTTGCCGAATTGTTAATCGCCGGTTACTCGAAAAACCAGTGAGGTAAAGCCACAACGTAACGTTACGTGCGTTGCGTCATGGGAACACAAGTCTGGCCAAGGTCACGACGCTCCAAAATGTACATATAAGGGTGAATCATCTAACAAGGATCCCAACTTTCGCTCGTACATTTTAACGAAACTTTAACGACGAAGTTTGTGATAAAGACGAAATAAATGTAAAATCGAAATATTAGGTTAGGTTAGGATTACGTCAACACAAGGTCAGATCGGACTTTTACTGTAAACGTTAGAGCAACGTGTTTTCTACTATAACGGAGTTAATCCCTAAGTAAAACTGTCGACAGAAAAGAACCCCTGCTAAAAATTATCAGAGTCGTTAAATAAATATTTAAACTTCGATGTTATATGAAATTAGTGTCAACACTCGAATATTTTTGACAGTATCAGACGAGCCGGTCCACTCCGAAAAATTCATGTCACGTAAAAAGAACCCTAACGAAATTCGACTACCGGTCGCAAGGCAAAAAGAGAAACACGGGCGAGTCATCGAAATCAAAACTGAGGAAGGCGTAATAACAAAGGTCGTGTTCCAAGATCCAACTACGGCACACGCGCGTTCGTTGCCATGTGCCAATGACATGGCGTACATGCACTCGCGAGCAACGTCGAAACTTGCACGTCGCGCTCGAAATAAGGAATAAAAATACGTGGGCAAAAAATAGCTCCGGGTACTCACCTCTTTCCCTTCGTTCAATATACTCGGCGGCCTGTAGTAGGGCAGCAATGCTCATATTTCCCCGGTTTGGCGTAATTCTGGCGGCTTCGGTTCACTACCTCTTTCCCTGCAATCCCGGCACTCACACCGACACACAACGCGAGAAACGTTCAGAAACGCACACCAAGAACAAACAGCCCCGTGCACCGCGGCTGGCTACGTGTTACGTCGTGTTGTTGTTGATGTTGACGTTGACGTTGTTGTTGGTTGGCGCTACTGCCGCTTCTCGAACTTTTCTCTTCACCCGCCTGTTCAACCGCCTCTTCTTCTCTTCCTCCTCTTCCACCGCCACCTCTTCCTCCTTTTCTCGACCGTCCGCGCGCCTCGCTGGCTGCGTTAGCTTACGTGCACACACGTAACACACACGAGACTAGCACGATTTCAAACGCGCACTAGATTCGCGGACGGCAAATCGATGGCCGGACTTCTCCAACCGTGATACGCATCAAGAATCGCGTGTATATGTTTTTTTTCAGTTTTCGTTTCGATCTTTCTTCCCGTTCCCGTTTACACTCTCCGTCGTTCGTTCCACGTGCAAAGAATTTAGTTATATCGTTCGTGTCTGTCTCTTACTCTCGAACTTCTACTTGCCTGGTCCGCTTACGCGCCAGTTTATCCTTCTCTCTACTTTTTTTACCCAACGACGTGTTCCACTCGATCCTTCTTCTTTCCGCCTGACTTCGTCGGTTCTTCTTTCTTCACCTTCGTTTCACAACATTCACTAGGAGCACACAGCATACACGTGAAAGAAAAATCGACGAGTATCGCGAGACGAGAATACGGCGCACCGCTGCTCCTCCACACTTCCTTACACGGAGTCGCGTGCGAGCGAACTCGGACCGTGTTCCGTGATAATACAGAGAAAGAGAGCGACTCGCGAGCACGGTACAATTGGAAGGAGGCACACTATAGCGAAGTCACTAGGCGAATCGAAAGGGTCGAGAGATTACGCGTGTCGCTGGTAATTTATCGTGAACCCGAGCGAACGAACGAACCGTCGCGAAAAAACCCGACCTCGATCGGTGGTAGGCCGGTTCTTGACTCGTGTCGCGCTCACCGAACTATTATTTTCGTTCAGGACACGAGATTCTGATGTACACTCGCGAGCACCGTACACTTCCCTAGGGAAAATGGCGATGTAGGGGAATGGGCCTCATCATTTCTTCATTTACTAACGATAAGTTTTCGAAATTTATCAATTTCAGAATTTCCAGATTACAGAATTTGGCGGGGTAAACTTTTGAAATTTGGAGATCCGTGAAATCTAAAGAGACCAAGAAACCGAGAATTTAGAATTTAGATTTAGAACTGAAAAAGTTTTCACAAAATTGAAAAGAAACGCGTGGTATCCCTCCCACTACGCTCGTCTTTATCCAAAAAAAGCCTATATTGTCCTCAAGCATACACATAGTGCATATGCATGCGACCACTTTACCGGCTACTTGTTTTGTACCACGACCTTGAACGCGTACAGCTCACAGATCCGTACCCTAGAGAATATCTCTATTCTAGAGTCTAGACGTTAACACACGTAACACACACGAGACTAGCACGATTTCAAACGCGCACTAGATTCGCGGACGGCAAATCGATGGCCGGACTTCTCCAACCGTGATACGCATCAAGAATCGCGTGTATATGTTTTTTTTCAGTTTTCGTTTCGATCTTTCTTCCCGTTCCCGTTTACACTCTCCGTCGTTCGTTCCACGTGCAAAGAATTTAGTTATATCGTTCGTGTCTGTCTCTTACTCTCGAACTTCTACTTGCCTGGTCCGCTTACGCGCCAGTTTATCCTTCTCTCTACTTTTTTTACCCAACGACGTGTTCCACTCGATCCTTCTTCTTTCCGCCTGACTTCGTCGGTTCTTCTTTCTTCACCTTCGTTTCACAACATTCACTAGGAGCACACAGCATACACGTGAAAGAAAAATCGACGAGTATCGCGAGACGAGAATACGGCGCACCGCTGCTCCTCCACACTTCCTTACACGGAGTCGCGTGCGAGCGAACTCGGACCGTGTTCCGTGATAATACAGAGAAAGAGAGCGACTCGCGAGCACGGTACAATTGGAAGGAGGCACACTATAGCGAAGTCACTAGGCGAATCGAAAGGGTCGAGAGATTACGCGTGTCGCTGGTAATTTATCGTGAACCCGAGCGAACGAACGAACCGTCGCGAAAAAACCCGACCTCGATCGGTGGTAGGCCGGTTCTTGACTCGTGTCGCGCTCACCGAACTATTATTTTCGTTCAGGACACGAGATTCTGATGTACACTCGCGAGCACCGTACACTTCCCTAGGGAAAATGGCGATGTAGGGGAATGGGCCTCATCATTTCTTCATTTACTAACGATAAGTTTTCGAAATTTATCAATTTCAGAATTTCCAGATTACAGAATTTGGCGGGGTAAACTTTTGAAATTTGGAGATCCGTGAAATCTAAAGAGACCAAGAAACCGAGAATTTAGAATTTAGATTTAGAACTGAAAAAGTTTTCACAAAATTGAAAAGAAACGCGTGGTATCCCTCCCACTACGCTCGTCTTTATCCAAAAAAAGCCTATATTGTCCTCAAGCATACACATAGTGCATATGCATGCGACCACTTTACCGGCTACTTGTTTTGTACCACGACCTTGAACGCGTACAGCTCACAGATCCGTACCCTAGAGAATATCTCTATTCTAGAGTCTAGACGTTAAATCATCTGGTGTGTCTACACAAAACGAAATATTTCTATACCCTCGATCTAAACTTTGAATACAGAACCTACCGTCAGCGCGTAACTAAACTCGTGAAACATTCGCCGCGTATACATATACCAATCGTCCTTTTTCGTGATTCACGCACGTAACTCGGTCAACTTCTCGCGAGGTCAACGATTTCCATCAAACTCACGCAATACGCGTTCCGCGAATGGCAACCGATAAAACCTTAATTTCTTCGGTAGAGAAAACGTGCATACGTTGTCACGCACAGAACACACGGCAAAATCTTCTAGAAACTCGCGTTACATTCGTACTGGTTTCCCGTTCACGATGAACACACGTAAAGGCGCTCCCTTGGATCGCTCGCGACTTTCAGTACACATGCACGTTATACACCGCACAAACACGCCTATGAGCACGGGTTATAACGCGTGTACGTGATCGGCAACGAGTGTGGTTCTCGAACGGTGGTGCATACGCGTGCATAGGACGTTGTACGAGAGCAGTGATACGCAATACGCGATGCAGCCTTAAAACGAGTGTGAGCCACGTTACTGACAACGCTCCGATACCTCTACGTTGTATACATGCACTGGTAAAACGCGTGCGTATGTACGACGTCGAGGATCGAGTGTATTTCGACCCTATCGTCCACCTAGTGACATTTGGCACGCCGGATACGTTCGCTCGCACACGAAAGTAGGCGCAGCTGAGCGACGACGTAAAGAAAGACGGTCACTGTGGGATCGGCACTGCCTAACACTACTATTGCACAGACTTTCCGCGAAGTGGGGGGCTAGGACAAAGAAAAGGAGACACCAACTGACCGACGACGACGAGCCCACGAGCCCCCGACGACGACGACGACGACTACGACAAGCCGACGAGCGAGCGACAGCCTGATACCTCCGCACTTCGCGAGCACTCTCACGCATTTATCGATGTCAAACGTCTCTGCACCGTACAAGCACCAGACGTCGCTTCTTACGCGAATACCGATTGGCCCAGCGGTGCGCGAGTGCACTGCCTCGACCAATCAAACGCTCTGATACGGCGCTGCCGTACGAGCCGCCACCAGCACCGGTGGTGTCACGTGAATCTCATGCCCGAAAACAAAACAAACAGCTGGCCGTGTTCCTCGCCTCGCTCCCTTGCACGCTATCGTGCGTGCACTTTTCGACCACGATATGCTTGGAATAAATAGCCCCTTTTCTTTCTACACTCGAGCCGAGTGTAGGCTTACTTTGGATGAGAATATACATAGGGAAACATACTCCCACTACTTGCTTTTCATTTTGGAGGGTCAAATGTAGGAACTTGCAAATTTTTAATATCTTGTATTTTCGAAAACACTGATGTACATCTTGACAACTTTTGAAAATGTTACATTCTTACATTTTCCAAACTCTCAGATTTCTATATTTTTAAATTGTAAATATCTAAATCCCCGAATTACCAAATTTCAAAATTTGAAAATTTAAATTGACTCAAAATCAATTCTTCTTCTGCTGCGTTAACATTTTTTTACAAAACTCTACAAGTGTTGACAAGTGTTCGATGTGTTATAGGCAGGAATCTACGTGTACCGATAGGCATTTTTACATATTTGTAATAATAAAATTTCCGAGCAGAACAAATCGACTTGTTTTAAGATATTTTTTAACTTTTAAATTCCAATTTTAAATTTATTTGCTAGAATTTATTTATATTTTCGTATGAACGTATATTGACATTTGCAAAGATAAAATCTCTTGTATAGGAATGCTCTTTCACGTTACATCTTACATTTAATCATTTTTCTACTTTATCTACAATTCATAGGTGCGTCGATCATATGATTTTCTATAAAATATTTTTTCCGTCTTTAATGAATATATGTTATTATATTTTTACGTGGGCGTTCGATTAAATATATGAATAAGAAACGACAATTAATTCTGATTTTAAATACCTTGAGTGAAGCGCGTTTGAAAGTTTACACGATCGCGCCATTTTCTATATCCGGTTCGCCGTCAACCATTACTTTTTCAAATCGGTACTTCCGAATCCATCGTGATCCACGTTGTGTATAGGATGTTGTTTAAATGTGACATATTCAAGTTGAGATTCGAAAGATAGTAATTTTCTCCGCACTTCGCGAGCACTCTCACGCATTTATCGATGTCAAACGTCTCTGCACCGTACAAGCACCAGACGTCGCTTCTTACGCGAATACCGATTGGCCCAGCGGTGCGCGAGTGCACTGCCTCGACCAATCAAACGCTCTGATACGGCGCTGCCGTACGAGCCGCCACCAGCACCGGTGGTGTCACGTGAATCTCATGCCCGAAAACAAAACAAACAGCTGGCCGTGTTCCTCGCCTCGCTCCCTTGCACGCTATCGTGCGTGCACTTTTCGACCACGATATGCTTGGAATAAATAGCCCCTTTTCTTTCTACACTCGAGCCGAGTGTAGGCTTACTTTGGATGAGAATATACATAGGGAAACATACTCCCACTACTTGCTTTTCATTTTGGAGGGTCAAATGTAGGAACTTGCAAATTTTTAATATCTTGTATTTTCGAAAACACTGATGTACATCTTGACAACTTTTGAAAATGTTACATTCTTACATTTTCCAAACTCTCAGATTTCTATATTTTTAAATTGTAAATATCTAAATCCCCGAATTACCAAATTTCAAAATTTGAAAATTTAAATTGACTCAAAATCAATTCTTCTTCTGCTGCGTTAACATTTTTTTACAAAACTCTACAAGTGTTGACAAGTGTTCGATGTGTTATAGGCAGGAATCTACGTGTACCGATAGGCATTTTTACATATTTGTAATAATAAAATTTCCGAGCAGAACAAATCGACTTGTTTTAAGATATTTTTTAACTTTTAAATTCCAATTTTAAATTTATTTGCTAGAATTTATTTATATTTTCGTATGAACGTATATTGACATTTGCAAAGATAAAATCTCTTGTATAGGAATGCTCTTTCACGTTACATCTTACATTTAATCATTTTTCTACTTTATCTACAATTCATAGGTGCGTCGATCATATGATTTTCTATAAAATATTTTTTCCGTCTTTAATGAATATATGTTATTATATTTTTACGTGGGCGTTCGATTAAATATATGAATAAGAAACGACAATTAATTCTGATTTTAAATACCTTGAGTGAAGCGCGTTTGAAAGTTTACACGATCGCGCCATTTTCTATATCCGGTTCGCCGTCAACCATTACTTTTTCAAATCGGTACTTCCGAATCCATCGTGATCCACGTTGTGTATAGGATGTTGTTTAAATGTGACATATTCAAGTTGAGATTCGAAAGATAGTAATTTTACGAATAATGACAGTGAAAAATGTAATCGGAATACATGGAAAACATCAAATCTAGCAGATTTCTGCAATTTTCGCCAAAGGTTAAACGGATTTCTTCGAACACGCTGGTTGCGTACGATGTCACTGACTGAAAAGTAAGTTGCTTGAAGTTTATTGTTTTTGCACAAACTTTATTTAATTTCGATAAAAAGAAATGACATTTGAGGAATTGTAGTAATATATTTACAAGTATGTATAAATTAATGGTTTTTATCATTTTTGTGTACTAATGCTACGATCTTCAGTTGTTACGATCGTTATCGAAATATTTGTATGTGTTGTATTGCTATTTTATATTTTTTTAATCATTTACGCGTGGAATTTGGAATATTTTTATGTATCAGTGAAATAATAATAATCACGAAATTATTAATATTTTGTAGCAATTATGCACGTACAAAATGATATGTAAATCGCGAAATGTAAATTTTACGAAATTATTAATTTAAACGTTGAAAATTAATTGTAACCGCTTATTATCTGTCATTCATATTCATTCTGTAGCAAACGATTATTTTTTTTCGATGAATATCGACTGAGTAATTTATTACCACTTGAAAAGATAGATAATCTATACAAAAATTAACCTCTTGAAGTATTCGAATATTTGTTCAACATATAGAAATATTAATAGAAATATTTGTTCAACATATCATAACAGATTTATGTTTTTACACAATATAACAAAATAAAAGGGGTTTAATTGTAAAATACATTCTAAGGATGTGAATTTCACCTTCATTTATTTTGCTTTATTTTAATTGTCTTTCTTAAAAAATGTACATAAAATTTTTTGTATCGTTTATGTATTAACTTTTTAAAAACAACATTTTTTGTTAAATATTTGTACATTGATAAATTACATTCGAGATACTGGAACTATATCAAGCAATGCTAATGAATTTTGAAGTACAATTTGCAATACATGCAACATGTATAATCTTGCAACCATTGTTGGAATCAAGTGATCGTAACCTTCCTGTAATGCAATAGTAAACACATAATTAATAATAATTGCAATTTTTGCATCAAAGATATTCATGGATAGCTAAACTTACAGTTAAAATTTTAGTTGTACGATAATAGACACTAAATTTTTTACATAATCTTGATAAAAATATGCATATTATTTGAGGATTTGTTTGAAAGCCAGGTTCATATCTCAAACATTCTTTGATCATTTCTTGATATCCAATAATGAAGTTATGTATAAGTTCCCATTCATCCTGAAAATATAGATCATAACTTTTGGAAATATGAATCAAATAAATAGCCTTCAGATAAAATACCTGTTGATTTAATAAAGAAAAGTCTACGTCATAAACGTGGGGTAAATTAGGGTATTCTCCTTTCAATCTTTTGTCATTGTATTTTTTAATAATTGCTGCTATTCTAGCAGTATTATATAATATAAAAGATGCACCTAAAAACTGATAGTAATAGAAATTGTTTATTTAGAAATTCTATATAATTCATGATAAATTGTAAGCGAGAACCTTTCATGTTTGTGGTATTCCTGTTAGGTGCAGGATTAATTGCAATAGAAACAGAACGACTAGGTTTTACAGAAAGTAATTCAAATGTAGCCATTGCTTTTGCAACATTTTCAATAAAATTATCTTCTATTATTATGTCATGTTCATTCTCTTCAAAATACTTGTGTTCATTCAGTGTTTTCAGTTCCTCAATTTTATAGTTAATATACTCTTCCCAAGTTAGGGTTGCTTCTTTACAATTCTTTTCTGCATTTTTCACAACACCACATACACACTTTTCATAATTTTCTTCCACCTCTCCTTGCGACTTGGTGGTGAATATAAATTTATAATCTGATTGTTCATCTGATATTCTGCCTCCATGTAACTTAACAATCTTTTCGGTAACACTCTGTATTAAATGTAATCTTCTTGTCGTGATTTCTGATTCATTGTCTTTATGTAATTTAAAACTAAACACTTTATTGAGCGACAAAGTCCTTCCAAAGTTGCACTGAGACGTGAGAGCAAGTTTTATCGAGTTGGCAATAAGCGGAGTACGATGTAAGAATAAGCAGACTCTTTCATTTTCCAAAACATACCTTTGTATTTTTATCAACCAGTTGCAGCTAGATGATATTAATAACTCTATAGCCTGTAAAAAACAATATTCTCACTTCAGAATTAGGTTATGTATATATTCTTTAAGCTGATATTTTCTGTTCCACTTTTACCTCTTTTGCAATATCCTTGTCAGTTTTATCATTTGTGTCACGGCCTTGTATATGTAGAAAATGTTGCAAGATTGTTGTACATTTTCCATCACACTTATTTGTTCCTTGCAGCAAGTGTTTCCATGCTTTAAGGCTAGGTAAAAAATACAATTCACCATTTGTTGCTAAATTGTCATAATTTACCTTTATGACTGAATAATTTTTACTAGTATTACCACACAGATACAATGTTATGTTATCAACAAGTGTCTGTATACAAATAGATAACGTATTTTCCATTTGAAACTCCATAATTAGAGATTCCTATACATGAACCACCTTGAATGTGGGGCAGTATTAACAGCTGACTGTGTTTACCTCAATTATTATAATGATTCAAAGTGCAATGTATCATAACATATGTACAAATATTAAATAATTATTGAAAAGGGTGCTAAACAAATTTTCAATAATTGAAACACAATTTTCGATGTTTTCTTTATTAGAGTCACAAATTGAATCGTGCAAATAAGTCGGTTGCAAATATTAACATTAATATATATAATATTCCCTATACTTATCAGTAAGTTCAGGTATGTTACAAATATCGATCACAAAAGAAGAAAAAACAATTCTCTATTTAAGCGTATCTAGAACGACGTTTAAGTAAATGACTCGGCCGTGATATTACAATTAGTTATCCTTAAAATTTACATTATTCTCTTTGATATCGATTATCACATAGAATGATGGTACTTGACGTACGCTATCGCGGCTAACTCTTTGCAAAACTCTTCCGTCACGATCACGCTTTCGAACAGGATATTCTCCTTCTCCCTAAAATATAGTAAACACAATTAGTCATATTTTCAATATAAGGTCATAGGGGCAACTGTGAAAGCGATTTGACTCGTGTATTATTGGATCTAATATTAGGATCTTCTATTTTAGGACCTCTGTCCTCAGCTATCTTTTTCCTAAAATTTGTTCCGAGTCGGGTCACTTTCATACCATCGCAAAACGTAAACAGTTCGCTTTTTGCCTACCCATCGTGAGAACAGTCCTCGAGCAATCGTTCTCGCGTCTCCTTCAGTATCTGCTTGTGAGCCGGTGTCTTTGGTACCTCGTTTACCAGCTGCTTGACGACTCTTTGCAAGCAAGCGAACAAGTTTTTTGTGCCTGGTGCCAACGGTAGCAGTGGATTTAATAAGAATTCATGCAGGTACGGATGTGGTAAGAGTGCCAGCCTCGAGATCACCACGGTCAGTTGAAGATTGATCTCGTATTTTTGTCTGGGTATGTTGGCAACCTTATCGAACAGCATCGCCATAAACGGTCCCATGTAGAACCGTACGGAACAGTGATCAGCTTCCGGTCTGGAGTCAGAGCTCGCGGAGTCGTCGACGCTGACCGCTTCCAATGGCCACGCCATCAGCGAACAATCCGTTAACACGCTCGAATATTGCCTCTCCAGGTCGGCCATGTATCGCTCGTAATTATTCACGTCCGTGTCCGTTTGAAGATATCCCGGAATCAGAGACAGGAAGCTGAAACGTTGTTTTTGATATCGAACCGGCGTGAAACACCTTGTTGCATTTAAATGACTACTCTGGGTGAAAAAGGAATTTGTTGGGCCGCTCGATGATGATATCTGCTCATGTCGGCGAAACAAAAACATTCAGTCACCGTATATCCGCTATGCAAATTAGCAGATAAGCAGGTCTACGTTGACTAAACTCTCTTTTTGTAAACTCCTAAGCTAACCACTCTTAAACAATCTTAGTAACATTCTTTTTTCTATTATTTTGACTAGCTAAATAGAGACAGTATCCCATCGATATTTAATCAATCGTTAGAATATAATGTGATCGAGAATGTACAATTGAAATCGAATAATTTGATTTGCATAATAAAATCGGACACTAGATCAAGAAATGGGTTAGGTTAATTTAAATACTAGGTTACTAGGTTAGATTCTCCCTTTGAGTCAAAGAGAGGTGCTCACCAATTTACAATTCTGTGAATATTACTGGGTGCCAGTGTTCGGCTGTGACTTTGCTCGTAGGAGAGATCCAACGAGCCCTTTTTCTCTCTTTCTCTCTCGTCTTCCTCGTCGCTCCACGACGCGATCGCGCTATCCGCAGCCGTGTTGTCGTAATAGCCTCGCGTCGATAAGTACACCAACACCAGACAATGTAATATATGCTCGTTTCGTTTTTCTATCATTTCCTCGAACAGCTTCAACGTTTCCAAAGTTAGATCGTCGCTGTCCGTGAAACAGTTGTCTATCAATCTGTGCAGCACCTGTGACGTCCACACATTTGGTATTTCTGGGCCTCTGTCTTGACCCACTAGCCAGTAACTCATCTCTAAAAACATCGTATACAATTACCAAATAATCGTGTACATGGCTTTGTTATTATTAATTGCGCGATTAATTATCCAATTATCATTTCTCTGAAAAACACATGAACAAATAAACGAGGCAGGTGTACACACCTGTACACAGCGTGGTGGAGGTTAACTCCTTCAAGCACTTGGTAATCAGTGCTGTGATAAGGACGACATGGTGGTCGGCCAAAGCTGGTGTCACGATCTTCTCCAGGAAGTTGATCCTTATGCTTTTTGCCAACGCGTCCGCCACATCCGGATAAGCTTCCCTTATCAGCTGGTTGCAGTAGTCGAACCACATGAAGAACGCGGCGACTTGTCTGCATCCGGAGAACTTCTTCTCCTTCGTCCAAGCAGGAGAATCCAAACCCCACGTCACGTCCACTCCGTCGATCTCCGTTGGATCGACGTGCGCTGGAATCGCGTTGAAAAGATTCTCTAGTCTGTTCGTTATTAACGTCGTTAAGTCACTGTTCACGATCATCTGGGCGAACGGTGGATCGTCCAAGGATGCCAGGACCATTATACCCTCGCACGCTCTTATTCTTACGGTATTGTCCTGAAAGGGTTATTCTGGCTCAATTCTTGTTTAATTTAAAAATTTTGGGAATTCAAGAACGCCAGGATTTTGAGGGTTTGTTCCCAACTTACCGCGGTGTTTATGTAACTCAGCAAGGCATCCAGCAGAAGGCATTTCGATTTCGACGACGTCCTCGACTTCCCCGAACTCCGATCACTTTCCACGCAAGCGGTATCTTCGTAAACTCCTGTGTATTCAACGTCCAACCTCAGATCCTGAAGATTCTGCAGATGCGCATCGATCTCGTTCATCATCGCCGTGTCTTCGCACTTGTGCGAGACCTCGTCGCGAGGGTCAGCTTGCTCCGAAACGTTGCTACCGTTATCACAAATCAATTTGGGAGTCTCAGGACTAGAGGACTGCGAGGCGTTCTCGGTCTCCCTGGAAGATATCGAACCGTTCGACTGACTAGATGACCCTCGATTCGGGTCGGGCTTACTGGACGACTTGTTAGAGCACGGGGATCTCCTTCTGTCGTTCTCCGAGTTAAATAAATTAGGATTGATCAGAGTGATCGCTTGGGTGTCCAGCGGTTCGAACAGGGGATTGGAGTTCTTTTTCGCCGGCACATAGGTCACCTTCTCCACTTCTATCTTTTCGGTATTCTTCTTGACCGACGTGTTCTGCCTGGAGATTGACGGGGCGTCGTTTATGATGCTGGTCACGTGCGGATATTTGCAAACCAGGAAACAAATGGTGAGGAGGAACTGGACCTCCTCGGCCTCCATGGGTGACGGTGCACTTCCATTGCACAGAGCTATAAGTCGTTGCACCGGCCCGTAGATGGACGTGTGGTGCAGCAAAGGATACTTGGATCTTCCTAGCAGTTTTCTCAAGAAGGACAGACAGACTGTCCTCATTCCGGGCGGAGTTTCAGCGCTGGCTAGGGTGGCCAGCAGGTCCAGCAACTTGTGCTGGAACAGGTACTCCAAACAGGAGCCTGGCTCATTCTCGTCTTTCTCCTCTTCGAGAAGTATCTCCAGCAACCTGTCCAAGTGACGAGGTATGCTCGTCGATTGTATGGGGACCTTGCAATCCGTCAGGTGGTTCACGTAGAAGTTCATCAGCTGCTTCCAGTGGTAGGTGAAGTCTTGCAGCGGCGTGGCTGGCGGTGCTATCTGCAAGTAAACAGACATACGTGAGATCGGTTCGAGCGATTAAAACGAGAGGATTGAAACTCTAGTCAGCGATCGTATTACGTCCGATAGATGGTCGTTGAGAAAAAACAAATAAGATGCAAAACACGGGAGCCTATTGAACGTGCACATGTTAATTAGACGTCGTTCCACGATTTCGCAGGTGCGAGGCTAGTTTGAATAATTATATAAGCGGCTAAATATAACGACGTGATCCACTGATTAGATGTCTATGATTCGACAGAAACGGACTGCCCTTAGTTGGACGAATATAATTATGTTCGATGCAACTGGCCTTTGACTCTTGATTGATTGAAGCGATAATCGATACTTTTTAATTGGGAATTTAAATTTAATTATCGATCGATTGTATAAAATATCTAAGATACTCGAGGATTCCTCACTGCTTAATTATAAATTGAAATTTGATTATTAATTAGAAATTCAATAAATCGAGTTTAATAGCAGTCAGATACAGCGAAGACTATGCATAACACGTGGTATTTGATCTTCTCGAGATACAAGTGAAATAATTGATCATGAGACGAGGTCCGCCGGACACGTGACACCGGAAGAGTAATTAACAGAAGAGAAGTAATTGGTGAATGGTCAAAACCAACGTCGATAGATAAAACGTAAATAAATACAATGGCACGTGTGACGTTGCGAAGGAAAAAATCATAGTATATAACACGCGCAGCGCTACGATCGATTAGCACCAGCCTTAGTGTCGCGTTGTTTACCGTGCGTAATGAAAACGTACGAGGAAAAAGAAACGTATGAATAGAAATAAGCAACGAAGGTCGCGAGTCGAGGAAGCGATTACAGGGACTAGGACAGAAAGCGACGACGATTCTTATCAGGGTTATCGTGTACACTCACCACGTCAATGGCATTCTTCAGAGCGATTTGAATGCCGCTGATCATTTTATTGCGGCTTCCGGTATTCTCAGCACGATTATTTCTCGCTATGCACACCGCTCGCCGCCGTAACTCGCCCTGTTCTTCGCTGCTTTTGCATAATTTCGCATCGTTCGCACGCGATTATCAACCCTACGATCGCTCACTGTCCGCGACAGACAAGCTTCTGTGGCTTTTTGACGTCTTTTGTTACCGCGTGTTCGACGGCAGATGGCATTCAGCTCGTTTGGCGGCACTTCTGAAGTTATGGAGACGAAAAACAAGACTTATCGAATGCTCAGATAGCACTCGATCATGTATTGTGCAGTTTGGAGCAAATGTAAACCCCCACTCGAATCTCAGGATTTCAGGATGGGTTACAAATTTAAATTTAGAAGATAGGGATTTTTGTATTCGGGGATCTAGGGATTTGAGAATCAGAAGAATCTAGAAATTTGTAAATCTGGGGACTTGGTCTGCGAGCCGAAGGAATTTATGGATCTCGAGTATAAAGATCGTTTAATAGCTTGCTGATAAGATTTTCATAAACAAGCCAATACCGCGACCGATTAGATCAAACATTAGATATCAGTTATGCAATTCGACTCGGACGCTTTAATGCTCAAAGTTTCTATTCCATCGAAACAATAGTATTTTCTTCGAAACGTTTATCGAATAATTTTGTATACTCTGCCTCGCATAAAGGAATTTCAAGATCGTTTGAACAATTATCTATTATGACAAACACGAAATCCTATTTTTCTTGAAATAAGCCCATTATCGCTGACGTGGGACGGTCGTGCAAAATAAGCAGTTAAGCGATATTTACGACGACTTTTATTCCGCACCTTTAACGTGTACACAGCACAGAATAACATTTAACCGGTTCGTGGGTGTAAAAAAGATGGATCTTCCTGGTGTTTCTCTTATTTCCATCGAACAATGTACAATTATTTCGGATCGAGTGTACAAAGGAATCGCGTCGTTGATTTTATCGCTTTCAAGTAACCTAGGACAAGGTAATTCGTCTAAAAAAGAACCTTCACGCTTTAGGAATCCGAGTGTACCTCGATTTTTCTCCTCACTTCCATCTTCCTTTTATCAGGTCATCGAGTACGAAACTTGAACATCGCCGATGAAATTTGAAAGTGAACTAAAATTGCTTTTAAAATTTTCTTAAGAACGTGTCGAGGTCGTCAAAATTTCTCAAGAAGGAGAATCGTTAAGTTTTGTACTCGATGACCCGATATATTAATATATTAAAATACATTACGACCGTTATAATACACGCAAGGGAATTCGCGCGTCAACGCGTCGCTCTAGTAACATATTTTTGATAATTCTGACACGCTGCGAGGGTAAATGTGACCCGGACTCGGTACTCACCGCCTTCAGTCTCCACAGTCGTCGCAGCATGATGACGAACGAGACGGAGAAGGAACAGGGGATCAGGAGACGATGGAACCAAAAAAAACTCGCGAGGAAAATAATGTTCGTTCGCCTTAACGACGATCAGGCGCTAGTGTATCCGATTTTTATCACTGGCCGTCGCGCGAGCTCTTATCGTCGCGACGACCGAAATAAGTACACCTCGCACACGGTAGCGAACGTGTCTCTTACGTCGAGGATCGCAACCGACGATCACCGGTTTCGTAATTATTCTCGAATGCGACTAGGAATTCCGAGCACGCGGCTCCGATTTCTACGAGTCGACCAGGAAAAACGGATTGATTACCACTATTCGCTTTGTCTATTAACACTTGGCTGAATTTCATACGTGACGCATGAATTTTCGTGTAGATCACTTATTTCGCAGGAATTTTATTTGTCGGGAAATTTGGAAGCTTGAAAATTAGGGTAAAGTTTGAATATTTTGGAAACGAGAATGAAATTTGGACTTTGAAAATTTTCTGTAATGCACAAGACACCGAAACTAGAATTTAGAGAAATCGCCTCGAGACTAATTACGCAATGCATCGGAAATGTTGCGGGTTGAACTTTAAGAAACTTTGAAGGTCTTGAAAGTGGTTCCACGACGTTAGTTTCGATCGAATGTCTAAATTTCGAAGGTCTTAAAAGTCCAGAGAAGAACCACAATACGATATATACCTCTCCATGTTTATTTTAAAATTCTCTATTTTTATTCGTTACGAATTCTTTGAAATATTCGATACAGTTAAATTACACGGAAATTTACATTGAAAATTTGAGTACAACTACATCCTTCATTCTCAAGAACCGATAACGTTTCAAGACTGACAAGTTTCCCAAAGTTCGCGAGTTTAACTTTGGATTTAAGTACCAAAATGATTGTTCTTGAAAATGTACAAGGGAGAATATTAAATGTTTGACGGATCCTCGACGTGAGAGCAACGAGAAACATCGTCAAGTGACACAAATTGTTCTAACGATCACTCTTTCTCTCTCGCACGCATTCTTTTCTTTCGTTTTTTGGTTTTTTACCGAGACGACGATCGTCGACGGGTCACCGACGTGACAACCAGAGGTATACGTTCAAAGAACGCGAACGTTTCGAGCGCGACCGTGGCCTATAAATCTAAAAATACTTCAAACCATCTAATCCCTTAGAACGCTACTATTCTGTCTAGTAAACTTCACGTTGTAAAACACGCTTTCGTTAACATCTACCCCTTCATTCTCCCTTTCGACTTAATTCGCTTCCTCCATTGGTGTGACTAGAACACTCGGGTGGCATCGGTGCGTAAACAGAACCTTCGATATTTAGAAATCTGGGAATTTAGGACGTGGATATATGGGGTAGTTTCGAGGACAGTCTGTTGGAAAATTTAGCAATTTACACGCTCAAAATCTCGTAACTTTAAGAGGTTTTGTATTTCTAATGCGAGGTGCATTCTTCCCGTTAATGGAAAGAGCCTGTCCATACTTTTAGGGTTTCCACCCTTATCTTAGTCTAGTTACGCCAACGGATCTTTCGCCCAGTCTCACGCATTCTCGTTCCGCGCACGCATCTACCGTTATAATATGACTATCGCAGGATAAAACGACGATACAAATAATTTATAAATCATTCTCAATACGTAACAACGATCCGTCCGTACCCTTTCTCCTTCCCGAGAGATTTGCTAATGCGACGATGAAGAAGAGTCTTCAGAGTCTTCCGATTCTGATCCTTCAAGCTCTTCTTTTCTATCAAGGAAAGAAATAATCAAATCAATCGTTGTACTATTAAAAAGAAACTAACACGTAGCCCCTGTAATTCTAATTATTTGCTACAGCTGTTTGATTTCATTAATTTTTGTCGGAAAAGGAAAGAGTGTTCGGGCTACGTCTTTTGCTACTATTTACAATTAGCGTATTTGCAATTCTCTCGTTTGCAAGCTTTCGCACACACATACACGCACGCACACTGTCTTGTTCACTCTGGCAGACATAAGTTTCATTCGTTTTCTTTTTTTTTTGTTTTCGTTTAATCGCTATAGCTCGTTTCATCTGCGTTCGCGACACGTACGCGTGACTTGTATCCTTTTAATGTACGTTAATAGTGTGTCAGATTGGTATCATTTACTGCGTATAACTTAATTTAAGCTAAGTCGAATAGACGCGGCACAGCCGTTGTCTTCACCGTTTTTGAGCAGCCACCGCGGCAACCAGCGCCGCTCCGCGACCGCTTCCGTCCTCCGACAGCATCAAGTCGAACTGCAAAAAGACATAAAGTTACATTAATTTCTTTCAATTAAGAATGTTCCGCAAATGCAACTCAGTCGGTAACTTCGTCGAATACATTTCATTGAAATTATGAAGCGACCAAAGTAATAAACAACAGAACGTTGAGATTCGCCTATAGCATTCAACGAGGTCAACATAGTAGAGCCACTTTAAAAAAAAGAAGTCATATTTCATATGATTCATCTCAAGAATATTTGTTCTCATAAACTGCACAACCTTGTCCCAGATAAGCTGTCCTCATTTAAATTCTCTAATCGTGTATCTTCAGTTATGACACAAAGATTTGCTATCTTAAAACCGAGCTAGTTGTTTTAAAGTTAGTTGTTTTCAGTAGATAGTAGTCATCAACAATGGAGTCCATCGTCCTCACCTTGTGGTTCTGTAGCTGGCTGATCTTCTCGGTCATAAGATCATGAAAGTGTGGATGGAATCTGTAGACCGAACCGTCGATTCCGACAGTGACATTGTTCTCCCCCATTTTGTTTAACAGCGTAGAGATTCCAGCGCTGGCCAAGTGGGCAGCTCTCCTCGACACGACCGAGCAAACGTACCTGACGTTCTCGCAATCTTGATCGCTCACGTTTCGTGCACCTAACTCGGCCAGAACTTCACGGCAGTTTGTGTATTTCCCTTTGGGATCACTGAAAATTAAATTATGCTATTTTAGAAGTGATCGAATTTGGAAACCTAGTTGTTCACTCGTGAGTTACAAGAGGATAGAATATAGGATCCCAGGAATTTTGGGAGATAAAAAAGGTCCAAGAGGACCAAGATATCGACTCTCGAGCCGTAGAAAGTTTTCCCTAAGTACTGACATGAAACTGGAATGCAGTCCAATACTATAAACTCACTTTTCTATTTCTGAAACATATTTCGTGAAGAATTTTCCCCGTTTCTTGAGATCACTGGGACATTTGCCTCCAAACAGGAGACCAGCGTTGACGATCTTCTCGAGGACCAACCTCGTCAGCTCTCCCATGTACATTCCAGAGATCATCTTCTCGAACAACTGTTTCGAAGGATTGATGGAGTGCGTGTCGATGTCTCGATCGAATTCGGTGATGATGAAATCGAGAACACCTCCCTCTCCGAAAGCACCCCACTCGATGTTGATCAGCATCTGTGGTTTATCCGGCGAGTAGTTTCCTGGTATCGATGTCTCCACGTTTTTCGTCTTTTCCACGTAGCAGGCGTTCGTTCCCGTTCCTGAGGAAATCACACATCAGTTTTGTACGATTATGTAAATTTGCAAATTAAATCGAACGTAAAATTAAATTACGATATTAATCGTAGACTATGTTACATAACAGGCGAATAACTTGGGTAAAAACAAAGGAGTAACGTGTTTGAAATACGTTTTTCAACCATGACCGTGAAAACGCGTGGTTTTTCTCGATATACGTACCAACAATCAATCCGATACGGCAGTTTCTGTTTTTCCAAGCGCACGACATTAAAGTGCCCGTCGTGTCGTTAAGTATGGCGCACACTTCGATTTTCACGTCCTGAAAACAACGTTGGCTTCAACTGATTTGCACGCTTTGCTCGCGAAGTATCATTGTTTCCGACTCTCGTTATTCATTAGCACGCTCGTTATGAAATCAGTGACGAATTTAGAACTTATCCATTCGAACGTGTTCTCGGTCATACGAAGCAAAATTGAATACAGAAATTTTTATATAATTTTAACTTTATTCTATGAAATAAAATTTAGGAGACGTTTCTTGCAAATTTTTTTAAAATATCGACTTTACCTTTCTTCTATCTATCGCGGCCTCGAGGAGGGCGACGACGTCCTGATCCACCACTCCGCTGCAATTAAAACCCTTCGTCCATCTAACGAGGTAGCCTTCCGTCAACCCGCGTTGCGACAGTGGAAAACTGAAGGTGAATCCGAGTGGCAGAACGTGATCCTGAAGGTTCAGATCTTTAACGAACAGCGACAGACACTGGGCTATGTGATCGAACAGTTGTGTACCGGTCCCCAACATCAGACTCTGCGGTATCGCGTAGATTTTGCTCTTCATATCGAAATTTTGACCGTCCAGGGTGATCAGCAACACCCTAAAATTCGTTCCGCCCAGATCCAAGGCCAGGAAGTTGCCCTTCTCTGCGAATTAATTCCATCAAATATTCAGACTCTTTCTTCTAAGAGTTTTTAACATCGTCGAAGACAATCGAAAAGAATGTTACGTAATGAAAGAGTATGCATCATCTTTCATCGCGGTACCTCGAAGTTTAAACAGAATTGCATGACTGGAACTTGGAAATAATTAGCCAGCTGGCACGCTCGATGACTAAGCAGAACTTTAGGATTCTACGGTTTTAAATTTTGATCTTACAGTTTGTGGTACAATGTCGTCCACGCCATTTTATAGTCTAAGGAAATTTTGAGGAAACCTATGACAGAAAATCTTGAACCTATTTCCAACTATCGTTTCTTCAAATTTCATCGATACGCAGATCAGTATTTACACGCATTAAATTTCATAATAATACATGTGTATCCATGTGCGTACAAATATGGTGAACATATTAGCTATTTGCAAAAATAAAAGGATGGCGTCGACGAATAAGGAAACGTACAGTTACGCTATAGGACGCAGGTGCGTTCTTACCTGTGCCATTAGGAAGGTCTTGCACGTAAGTGGGAAAACATTTGACAATCGCTTGGTCGTGGGTCGCTTTGCTCAGACCTTTGTTCATCTCGTCATCCAGCTTTTGCATGACCGTGCGGAGAGTGTCGTCGGACAAGATGAGGTCTTTGCAGACATCTCTGATCTGTGAAGCAAACGAAAATTTCGTTATCGATCCACCGGTTCTGTTACCGTGCCACTAGCACGGGCTGCCCTTGAACGTCTCTCAGATATCGATGCTCTATTCCCGCAGTTACATGTGTGTTGCATAACTCCGCGCTATATGTATCAAAATGAGAGATACAGGCGTCGTTTTACGCGTTTTCTCGGTCGTTTTAATCGGCTAGGTTAGTAAACAATGTCTCGAATTAATCCTCGTTAGATACAGCCCCGGAATTACTGCGACGTTCGTGCTTTGTGTCTCGGTACTTTTTACAGATTTATGGATGGGTTACGTATTTGAGGAATTGCGGTCATTTGGTTACAGAAATTTGATAACAGAGGAAATTTGAATTTTTACGACGTTAGAATACTAGACATGACAGGACTGTTTGATAAAAATAATGACTTTTCTTTCGGTCGATAGACTGATCGCATATCTGCCGATATGATTCATTTCCCAAAGGTTCGCGATACTCGGCGCCTCGTATCTCGGATATTTGCTGATTTCGTAACGACTTCCACAAAGTGTAAACTGACCGCCATCTTTTTACGCAGACCAGTGTCGCGGAAAAGAAAAAGAGGAAGGTGAAGGTTGTCGCAGGTAGAATGATAACGAACCAAAGTTCAGTCGAAACGTTTACCTCGAACGTGACTTTCCGAAAACAATTGTGAAATCAATGTCCGAAGAGAAATTGAATCGACGGACCATGAAATCGGAGAATTGTACTTTCTCCTTAATTTCGAAGCCATCGAGCACGTCTAATTTGCTATTGTACCTTTGATTTGCGTGATAGATCGTGAGAAACGAAAACCAGAGTTACGAAACTTTATGAGAATTAGCAGACCAGTGTCGTAAAATATTTAACGAAATTTTGTGAACTTGTAAAAGATGAACAAATTTGAAAATTGTTAAGATTTCTAAATGTAATGAATTGCAGATATATGGAAGTGTATGCAATTTTCCTAATAATTTAGAAATTTATGCATCATTCTGTTGCAACATACGGTCGTTTGCTCTCACCGACTACATCTAGCTTGCGGTACTTCCGGTCTCTGACACACGCATACACAATGCATAAAATTGTACGTGCATTCTTTCCGCTCAGTCGAACGCGAATGCACCGCTATTTCTTGAAAATGCACGACACTGTCCCAGTTTTTTCTCCCTTGCTGATTTATTACTTGTTACTATATGTATACAATTTTGATAGACTCTGAAGGTTAAGATTATGGAACATAATTTTGTAATCTCACGTTTCTGAAACTTTAAGACATTTTAAAAAGTAATGTATTATATTCTGATTCAACTCAAACCCGAGTAGTGTAACTATTATTGAAATTTTGATAAAATACGAAACCTAAATGTCCTGGCAACTGGTCCTCTAGCCAGCATAAGCGTTATTCGTAGACTACGTTAATAATTGCAGTAAAAAAATGAACGAACAATTTGGGTCATGAGGCACCGGGTTCACGATCGATAATTGCTACTTAAGCAGTCTACTTGAATGAAATCGAAGGTTTTAAATACGGTTTTCCTGCGTAAAGAGTCGATTCGAATCGATCGACCTTCGGGCTCGATAATAATACGCACTCTTGAGAACGATATTCAATTCCAACGCGGTTTGCGTCAACGCGGATTAACACGGCAATTATTCGAATTGTTTTGTTTCTTTCCGCCTGGTTAATCCGCGGTTCAATATGGTTCAACAATCGATCGAGAAAATGTGCAATGAGAAATTGTATAATGTAGAAAAGAAATGAGAACCATATACTTCTATTTTAAATTGAATAATTTAAAAAAAAATTGTATTGTTACATCAATAATGTTAAGGTACAAATCTCCTGACGATAAGGAAAAAAAATTGTGGTTTAATGATTCATTTTGGAATGTAAACTGTTTCATTGAAAATAATTTGAAATTGGACGCGCGTACGCGCCTTTCCCGCTCATTGCATATGCATTTGAAATCCTGGAAGCGAATAATTATGCAAACGAAACTATCAAGTTCAAGAATAACGTAATAGTTCTGAGACCAATGAATTATCTTGCTGAAACATGGTCCGATAAATAATTTGCAAGTACCAGCAGCAATTCGCGATTAAAGAGAAAAATAATTTATAATTTTCTTACTGTTTTCTTTCATAAATATTCAAAAATTGTTCGTAAATAATCATATAAATTCTATCAATTCTTTAAGCTCTGTGACCTTGAATAACCTTGCCCGTCCTTATGTCACGTGTCATTAAACTTGCGTCGTATTACAAAAACCACCAGAACGAGAAAAAGTATACACACCTTTTTGTGAGATAACACAAAGGAACGCGGAAACTCTTGTATTACATGTAATATTTAAAATTCAGAGAAATGTAGTTAACATCGGTGCTCAAGGAAAGTGCAACTTTTGCAATATCTAAATTGTACATTCATTTACAGAATATTTTAAAACAGAACTGTTTTCTGTAACGTACGCGATAACAGTTCGATCAGCAATCAGTTTCGCGTGTAATCACACGTAGGTGAACGCGAATATTGCGTCAGCTATCATAACAAAGTTTCAAGGACGCCGATGATCGAGCTAAAAATACGAAATACCGCGAGGCGCTTGTTCGAACGTTCGAAATTCCCGCCAATTCCGCGCGCGGTTTCCCTCCTCCTTTTCCGGGGATACGGCATTGATCTGGCGGTGGCGTCACTGACACACCCGCCAGCCAGCCAATAGGACTGTTTTATGAATGAATGGTATAGTTACATGTACGACGCACACGGCACATCTCGAGCACGCTACAGGAAGAACGTTCAAAGGCCAATGCACAGTGATTCGTGCAAAATGCACGCGGTGTAATGCCCAGACGAGTCCAAACGATCGTTTACTCGTTCGTTGCGTTTATGCAACACTCGAATGCAAATGAGACATTGAAAAGCACGTTATGAGTATTCATAACCTCTCTCATAGATATGTACCTCTCTCCGATTTACAAAGGTCTACGATCGTTCCACTATACGTAAATAACCTCTATTGACGTAAAGAGGAGACGAGATTTTAAAACCGTACGAAACCCGTGACGGGTTCGTGTCTCATCTCACGTTGCGCATCGACCACGTTCCGGTGTTTATTTTTAGACGCATGTTACGCGTCGCATAGTCAAGGTGTCAAGGACACGGCGGAAACATTTCTCCAAAGCTCGACGACCTCGTTCGCGAGCACGAGAGGTATTTCGTCGATCAGCGATCGAAAAAAATCGAAACCGCGACACGTGCATCGATGCAACACGTTGCACCAGCCATAAGTTTGAATATCGAACGTCCTTCCGCGTCGGTGTTCACGTTGTTCGACGAATTTACCGAATCGAAACGATCACGTGAAATTCGGTTTGCTAACCGGTTGCTCGCGATTCGATATATCGTTGCGTACGAGCGGAATCGATCGATTATCGAGCGCGTTCTACAAATGTTATTCAGGTAATGCTGGAGCCTCGTTGTTCAGCCGTGAAATATTTAATGGGTTATCACGGTACACTTGCATCGAGAATCATGCATTTATCGATCCTGACCGGTGCACGTTGACACCAGCGTGCTACTTTTCCTCTGTTTCATCCACAATCGATAAAAAAACCCGTTTTGTCACTTTACAGATACATCGACCGACTTACGGTCGTTACCTGCCGTGAGACTCCATTAAATTCGGCAAATATTTTGCGAGGGTATTAACGCGCCATTTATCGCGAGATAATCGCGTGCACACGTCAAGTGTTATCACTCAGCGTTCGAGTACGTTTCAGATTATAGACCGCAGACACGTCATGGTATTTTTTATTCACAATTAAATCAGTTTTCGAGTAATTGTTGCGCAAACGTATCGCACGAGCCGGTATTATAATGACGCAGAAGTGAATCGAAGGAAAAGCTTAAGAAAACGTCTTCCGTGGATTCTAATTCGGGTCCACTTCCGTCACAGATACTCGTCAGAGGTAGAAGAGGCAAAGGTTAAAAAAATGTCCGTCTCGAACGCGGAAAACCGGCCACACGTTACTTCCACGTCAAGCGATCTCACCTCCTGTTTAATCATGTCACTAGAGGATAATGTCGACGTAATGAGACATTGAAAAGCACGTTATGAGTATTCATAACCTCTCTCATAGATATGTACCTCTCTCCGATTTACAAAGGTCTACGATCGTTCCACTATACGTAAATAACCTCTATTGACGTAAAGAGGAGACGAGATTTTAAAACCGTACGAAACCCGTGACGGGTTCGTGTCTCATCTCACGTTGCGCATCGACCACGTTCCGGTGTTTATTTTTAGACGCATGTTACGCGTCGCATAGTCAAGGTGTCAAGGACACGGCGGAAACATTTCTCCAAAGCTCGACGACCTCGTTCGCGAGCACGAGAGGTATTTCGTCGATCAGCGATCGAAAAAAATCGAAACCGCGACACGTGCATCGATGCAACACGTTGCACCAGCCATAAGTTTGAATATCGAACGTCCTTCCGCGTCGGTGTTCACGTTGTTCGACGAATTTACCGAATCGAAACGATCACGTGAAATTCGGTTTGCTAACCGGTTGCTCGCGATTCGATATATCGTTGCGTACGAGCGGAATCGATCGATTATCGAGCGCGTTCTACAAATGTTATTCAGGTAATGCTGGAGCCTCGTTGTTCAGCCGTGAAATATTTAATGGGTTATCACGGTACACTTGCATCGAGAATCATGCATTTATCGATCCTGACCGGTGCACGTTGACACCAGCGTGCTACTTTTCCTCTGTTTCATCCACAATCGATAAAAAAACCCGTTTTGTCACTTTACAGATACATCGACCGACTTACGGTCGTTACCTGCCGTGAGACTCCATTAAATTCGGCAAATATTTTGCGAGGGTATTAACGCGCCATTTATCGCGAGATAATCGCGTGCACACGTCAAGTGTTATCACTCAGCGTTCGAGTACGTTTCAGATTATAGACCGCAGACACGTCATGGTATTTTTTATTCACAATTAAATCAGTTTTCGAGTAATTGTTGCGCAAACGTATCGCACGAGCCGGTATTATAATGACGCAGAAGTGAATCGAAGGAAAAGCTTAAGAAAACGTCTTCCGTGGATTCTAATTCGGGTCCACTTCCGTCACAGATACTCGTCAGAGGTAGAAGAGGCAAAGGTTAAAAAAATGTCCGTCTCGAACGCGGAAAACCGGCCACACGTTACTTCCACGTCAAGCGATCTCACCTCCTGTTTAATCATGTCACTAGAGGATAATGTCGACGTTTTCATTGCCCTGCCTTCGTTGTTACACCCCGAACCACGGCCTTCTGGAAGCTTCGTGTTTGACGCGTTTTCGGTACACCTTCCCGTCGAGAAATCGAGACGATTCGAGGAATCGTCACAAGGAATCCGGTTCTCTTCTCTGTGCCTCGAAAACGCACAAGTTTTTGCACGCGCGTGACAAGCGACTTTGTTACCGTTCGAACAGTCACGGTACTATTCGTTGTTCACGAGCGTGTCTCACGAGTTTTATATCGCGACTACTCGCTCCGTATCCGTACCACGGAGGCTCCTGTTCCACGCGCCTACCTCTACACTTCCATGGACGAACGTGCTGGACAAATGGTGGGGCGAAAAGAGGCCATGGAGGAGACGCGCGACTCACTGACGGATTCATGTGGATCCCCCTTGCGCCACTTTTTTTTATTTTTTCACTCTTATCTTTCATTATCTGTTTGTCTAATTCTGTTGTGTAACTATTTGCACTGGTTTAGAATTCTACTGTTAATACACCCTCCACTATTTCACTAATACTATTTTACTATTCCACTATGTTACTATTTCACAGTATATTTTTAGTATTAATCCTTGAAATAAGATTGATGAAGGTTTAGAGACTTAATGAATGATATTAAGAAACCCGTTATGTATAACTATGTAAAATTCAAGCAGGCAAATTTATACTTTTAACTTCTTTTTCCTCAGATATAGAACTGCCCCAAGAATGTTACTTCACACTCAATCTTTTTATTTGCACCGAAGTTATAGCATATCCCATTATACCGTGAATGACTATTCAAACCTGTTTGAACAGTTGTCGATAATTCGATTTCATTGTTCGCTCATTTTGACGTTTATTCGAATGTAAACAGCGTTATGCGTATCGCGCGATAAAGCGCACGAGAGCTTTTTCTTCCCTGGAAATGATAAATGGTATTTTGCTTTTCGTGTGAACCGAGATTTCTTTTGCCATTGTATCGATAAAAAAGTCAGGCGATATCGATTCATTTCGTAGGCTTATCGATCGATAAAATTTAAGTCGAAATATTTGTACATATACTAAAGATTAGAGTTTGAACTAAAGTTTTAGAGTTTGAACGTTTGAAGGATTGAAACTTTTCAGAGTTAACTAAGTTCATTAAAAACTTTTCTGGGTAAAATGGAATGGATTTAGTGCGGGGAGTCGTGGTGCTTGCGACGGCCCTGGTTTTCGAGCGCGGAGTGGTGGGGATGAGCGAGCAGTGGCGGGAATAAGTAGGAAGTAGTGGGGATGAGGGGTAACTTCCCTACACACACACTCCGTTATGACCGAAAGATTATCGGTGAATGTGCCGTGCGCGGGATGGAGGCTCGTCTCCTCAAGGGTAAAAAGGTCACTCGTTTCCTCGTCCGCGAATTCGAGGAAATTGCATCACGAATCTGATGCATCCCTGTTACGCTCTTACGCTTCTATTCGCGTACATAATACTTGAGTTGCTATATAAAAGTCTTTTTTATATCACGCGCTAATTCAGAGTCTATAGTCTTTTCTGTCGTTTTAATTTTTCAATCGATTTCACGCCGTTTCTATCTTTTTATCTAGATCAAATAACGCCGACGAATTTAATGGCGCCGTAAAACGATTATGGGATAAATTCTTCGTGACGAAGTTAAATATTTATTACACTCGTAGCGGCACTCGAATTTATCAGTCTATCGAATATATTGCACTTTAATCCGTATCGTTTACATGGACATATTGTCACGTAACACATATTTTTATATGATTTTTTGTAATAAAAGAATTTATCGTTCTCCTTAATAAGATCAAAAAGACGAAAGGTTAATAAACGGTATATGACATAATATAATATGTGCTTTTGTTTAGTCTTCAGCGTTTGAACTGTATCATTCTAAGGTCAGTACGCTAGCAGTTTGATAAGACATTGACACTGCATTTATAATGAATCGACGGGCAGAGAACCAGTCAAGTAATTGCAATAAACTAACGTTTCTATCAGTAGTTGCACCTTTATTCGTTTCTTGTACCATTTGGAGACTCGAGTATCAGACAGAGTCTATTCTCTATGAATTTTCTCCATTCTAATCGTTTTTCAAATTACATAGTTGATTTCTGCATAGTTGCTCCACATGTGTCATCCATGTGACGACGCAGTTCCTTGGTCATTCTATTTATTCCTTACCCCACTATATGATGTTAACGTCAGCTCGTTAATAAACAAAAAAACGGAAGACTACAGAAATTAGTTCTCTTGTACAAAGAGTTTATGAATAATTCCATAATTCAAATAAGAGTTTTTGTAAGAGGAAGCTTTGTCTTAATTCGAAGGTAACTTGATCATAAGTCTATTACAGACTTCTGAGGCTACAGAATTTTGGGAAGATAATGCATTACAAATGTATCGTGCAAAATGTGGCACGATGGCAAATGTGGTTAAAATAATCTTCGAAAGTCCCATGAAAGTTTTGGGATTCCTAGTTTAGGGAGAGTGTGGATAAAAGTTGTGGATTCGGGGAGAATCTCAACTTCATGGTCGACCTCAGTGTTAACCAGTCATGTTCAGAGTAATAAATTCCTAGGACATTTTCATTCTACACTTCCTGACAACATTGCGTTTTGCTTATCCTCCAGAGATTATTGTTTCTACGATGCACGCGATACAATTTCCGCCTATTGTGTCCTTCCTTGAATGGCTCACTGTTCTCTCGTTACTATCACGATAGCGAACACGAAAGTACGCAATTTCTGATCGATCATCCGAGTAGGCCATCCTGTGATCGATGAAGAATTATAAAACTCGAGTTCCATAAGAAACGATAATTACCCAACAAACTTTTTAACATGGACTTCTTGAAGATTCGAATACGAGCAAAAAATTCTGAGGATTCTAGTTTTATAATTATCCATGATAGACTTGCAGTAGACTCTCGTTATATTGCCTCTTTTAGTTCTCTATTAACATAATATGATTTTGAATTGCAAAGCAGTAACTTCGTTTACGTCGACGTATTTGACGTTACATTGTTAATTAAGCTATTCGCAATTATTAAAATACGAACTTATCGAGTGCAAATTCCTTTTTTGTTAATAATTTACATAAACACGGTGCTGGAGCCGCTTAGCACGGTGCAATAGGACTCGCTTCAGATTAGATTAAACGTTCATTCTTAAATTTCATTCTCTTGATTCATGACGAACCTTTGTACTTTGTTTATTTTTTATCCTGTACGCTACTGAATTCCAAAACGTTCTCTCAGCTAATATACACATTTGATAATTTATAAAACGTTTTGTTTATAAAACAAATTTGTGATTTGTAGGAAGAGTGTAGAAATTCTGGAGACTTAAAGGTTTGAGTAGTCTAAGAATTGTGGATGTACAAACAACGGGAATTTAAAGATCTAAAAACGCAGATATTGATAGATCTGCAAAGATAAAAATATGCTCGCTGCATAAGTGACATAAAGTGTGTTGACAATTTCCTAAACGACCCACTTCACTGCTTCTCGATTTTAAGTCTTCGGATTCACTAACAGATAACCGTGTACCATTATCTCTTCAGCGCCAAAAGTGTCATCTCTATTACAATACCATTTCGCAATATTGAAGACGCAAATCGATAAAATAAGTACACACTTTTTCTTCGAACCTTTGCTGTCTAAAATAGTTATAATTATTGTTCAGGATCGTTTCTCATTTTAATTACCATCACGAAGATAACAAATTAAGCAAACCATAATTAATTTGATAACCCAATTTCAACGTCGTAATCTCGAACATAGTCGATCAGTATAGTCGTGCGCTAATTATGAACGGATAAAAAATGATGCAACGACGAATAACTTTCGAGGAAGAAACGAAAGTCGTCATGAACCGCGATTGGCCGATCGCGAGGGCTCGAGCGGTCGATCCCTCTCGCTGACGTCATCGGCTTCTTCTGTGAACGAAAGATCGATCTTTCACTGAGGATACGCACTTTCGCAATGAACGCAGACACGACTGATTTTAGGCCGGAGGGTTTATTGATTTTTAGCGGAGAAGGGACTGCTCAGGTGAGAAACCTGTTCTTGAAATTTCGAGGTCAAAGGTAAAACAAAATATGAGAGCTGCGAGAGATTAGATCTGCATTCTGAAGGTTTGAGGAAAATTCGGGGTGGACCGATACAATTTTTATATAATTTTAAGTTATAGTTAAGAGAATATTTTTTGAAGAGTATTAACCCCTTCCCGTACTTTGACGAGTCTCACTCGTGACGCACTTACAGCTAAAATGTGACAAACCTTACTCAAATTTTGAATACTCTTCAACTTGAAATTTAGGTCCAGCTATAAGTTACATTATCAAGGATCCCTGAATATAAAATAGTTACATTTTAATTTTCTTGTTCGTTTTAATGTTATAGCCCTGAATAGTTAGTCTTGACTGACGCATCTGTTAAATAAATGGTAAGGGAAGGGGTTAAGACTATTTTATAAAACACTGGGATTTAGTAGATTAAGTTATCAATTTACGATCATCAGCAATGATTGTAAGGTTCGACCCTATTTCGTAATCTTTCGCAAAAATTCCTTTCATTCGATGAAGGAATTAAAACTAATACTTTCCTCTCGTACTTATTAACCGTTCATTCAATATAACGATAAAGATAATTCCGATAACGCGAATGATAAGGGCCCTTGTCTTTCGTCGAAATCTGCACGTTTCTCTTGATAAACATTCTTTACAAACGCGAAGTCGTTTAATAGTAAACTTTGCATCATTATAAAATTATTTGTGTCATTCTATGTGGAATATCGATATACTTTGTGATATTCAAGCTTTTTAAAAAATAACAGTACATAATCGTTTGCTCGTGCAATTACGAAAATTTAGCATTTCTCTTGTAATACGAATGAGCCTGCTAGGAATTCGTCCATTTCAACGTCTACCTACGGATTTCATCAGCACGGAACGATCGGAACGTGTATGGCGTCACGTTTTTACTAATACCAATTTACTGTGGCATTCACCCACCTCAATTTGAACATTGAAACCATTAAAACCGATCAAATTTTCTTTCTTTAATGCCTGTTTTATTTTCCTCCACATTTTACACACGAATGAGTTTCGTGAATGATGAAATTTTCCATGCGGTTTGAAGGACAAAGAGGCTTTTTGATTGAAAGTGTACTATTTTTTTGTGGAATAGTTTTGAAGGGATCGATAGAGACAATAAGATGAATGAAGCGAGGTCGAGGATCTGGACGAATTTCAGCCACAGCCTTGGCTCGAATGAGCACATACGTGTTTCGGCTCACGTAACGAATTCCTTGAGATCGTACAGGTAG